CCCATTTAACCAATTACAACAGGTGATATGAGTGAATTGAGGTCATGAGGGAGGCAGTGACCTGCCCACAATCCCACAGGTAGTGTGTAGCAGACATGGTATTTAAACTCAAGTTCTCTTTGTTCTTTACCACATCCAGGCAAGCAAAAAGCATCCATTAAACACTTGCTGTGCACCAGACACTGGTTACTGGGGACACAAAGAAAGGTAAAAATAGCTCTTGCTTTCAAGGAGCTCATGTTCTCTCTAGGTAATCAGAATCATAAAATGACTTTGATAAACTGAAAATATTACTGGTCATTTAATTCCCTGCTGCTAAGTTGTGCAGCGTCTGTTGTCTGCAGTCAAGAAGACCTGAGTTCAAATTCTACCTCACATACTTCCTAGCTGTGTAACCCTAGGCAAATCATTTAACTTCTATTTACCTCAGTTTCCTGTAAAATGGGGATGATAATAATAGCAACTACCTCTCTGGGTTGTTGCAAGGGTCAAATGAGATAATAAAGCAAAGCACTTAGCACAGTGCCTGATACTTAGTTTATTAGTGATGTTCAACTCTCTGTGACCCCCATTTGGAGTTGTCTAGGCAAAGATATTGGAGTAGTTTGCCATTTCCTTCTCCAGCTCATTTTTACAGATGAGGAGACTGAGGCAAACAGGGTTAAGTGACTTGCCCAGGATCACACAGCTAGTAAATGGCTGAGGCAAGATCTGCACTCACAAAGATGAGTCTATCTGACTCCAGACCTGGTGCTTTACCTACTGAGCCACCTAGCTATTTGGTAGGGAGATTATTTCTTCAGCGCTTCAAAAAGCCCAAGTTTCCCTGGTGTGGGGACTGCAATCACAACCCTTCCAAGTCTTTGTGGATACTTTTGTAGACTGCTGTAGCAAAAAATTAAAAATCATCACCCAAGAGGTGATGAGCCTCTCAACTTTACTAGGTTTCCACCCGGATTCCTTCTAGATCAATGTACATCCCCACGAATAAAAGCACTCTGCTCCCACCTCCAGCCCATGAATACAACCTGAAGAGTCCTTTAATAGAAGAGAACAACGTTGTGTAGTGGAGGAAAAAAAAGCACTGGATTTCAAGTCAGATGGACCTGAGTTCAAATCCCAACTCTGCTACTTGGTACTGGTATGACCTTGAAAGATCCTTTGACTTCCCCGGATCTCATGTTGTTCAGTCCTTTTCAGTCATGTCCAACTCTTCATGACTCCATTTGGGGTTTTCTTGGCAAAAATACTAGAGTAGTTTGCCATTTCCTTCTCCAGCTCATTTTACAGATGAGGAGACTGAGGCAAACAGGGTTAAATCACTTGCCCAGAGTCACACAGTTAGTAAGTGTCCTGATTCCAAGCCCAATGCTCTATCCACAGTGCCACCTAGCTGCCCTGGAACTCAGTTCCCTACTTTATAAAAAGAATGGGTTAACCTCTATCAGAGGTGTCAAACTCACAGCAACAGCATCACACTCCCAAGTGAACCAGAACCAGATTAAAATATAATTAGGAATTGATAAATGGTCAAAGGATATGAACAGGCACTTTTCAAACGAAGAAATTAAAGTTATCTAGAGTCACATGAAAAAATGCTCTAAATCACTACTGATTAGAGAAATGCAAATTAAAACAACTCTAGATTGGCTAACATGACAAAATAGGAAAATGATAAATGTTGGAGAAGATGTGGGAAAATTAGAATACTAATGCATTGCTGGTGGAGTTATGAACTGATCCAACCATTCTGGAGAGCGATTTAGAGCTATGACCAAAAGGCTATAAAACTGTGCATATCCTTTGGACCCAGCAATACCACTACTAGGTCTGTACCCCAAAGAGATCATAAAAAAGTGAAAAGGACCCACATGTACAAAAATATTCATAGCAACTCTTCTTGTGGTGGCAAAAAATTAGAAATTGAGGGTATGCCCATCAATTGGGGAATGGCTGAACAAGTTATAGTATATGAATGTAACGGAATAAGAAATGTTCATAAGAAATGATGAGCAGGCAGATTTCAGAAAAACCTGGAAAGACTTCTATGAACTGATGCTGAGTGAAATGAGCAGAACCAGAACATTGTACACAGTAACAGCCACATTGCGCAATGACTAACTTTGATAGACTTAGCTCTTCTCAGCAATGCAATGATCTAAGACACTCCCAAAAGACTCAGGGTGGAAAATGCCATCTACATCCAGAGAAAGACTAGGGAGTCTGAATGCAGATCAAAGCATACTATTTTCTATCTTTTTTTTCTTTCTCGCAGTTTTTCCCTTTTGTTCTGAGGCTTCTTTCACAACATGGCTATTGCGGAAATATGTTTAATATGTTTATACATGTATAGCCTATGTCAGATTGCATGCTGTCTTGGGAAGGGGAGAGGGGAAGGGGGGGGAACATAGAACTCAAAATCTTATAAAAATGAATGTTGAAGAGGTGAAGCCAAGATGGCAGAGTGAAAGCAGGGACTCCCCTGAGCTCTTCCCCAAACCCCTTCAAATACCTCTAAAAAATCACTCTGAACAAATTCCAGAGCGGCAGAACCCACAAAGAGAGAGAATGAGGCAGATTTCCAGCCCAAAACAACCTGGAAGGTTGACAGAAAAGGTCTGTTGAACCTGCCTGAGAGAGGAACACATAGCATGCAGGTCACAGCACAGACTTGGCCTCAGCAAAGCCAGAGTAGGCTGCGGGGCACTGAATCATTGGCAGCAGTGGTGGTTTCCAGTGTTCTCAGCCCACAAAAGAAAGAGACAACTTAGAAGGTCAGTGGGAGAGGTCTGTTGGAACTGAGAGAGAGAAGCATAGTCCAGCGCAGGGCTGCAGGGTGTGGCAACATAGCCCCAGCCCCAGCAAACCAGGAAGAGACATTGGGAGTGACTGAATCAGCAGCAACAGTAGTGAGGGCAGTGGTGGTGGCAGTGGCAGCAGCTGTTCCTGGAGCTATTAGCCTACAGACTGAATGTTTTAAAGTCACCTATTTTGACTTCTGGGAGCCAAGATGGTGGAGTAAACAGTAAGTCACTCTCATCCTCCCTTACTGACCCTGAAAAACCCAGAGAATATTGCCCCAAGAAAAATCTTGAAATGGTGGAGACAACATAAAGCCGAGGTGCAGCAGTCTTTTAGCTTGGGAGGCTAGGGAGATTAACAGAAAAGGTCCTTCTTGCTTTGGCTGAAGGGGACCAGAACAGGAAGGTAGGCATCCCAGCAAGCCAGCAGCAAGCCTCACCTCAGCAAACCAGTAATCAGGTCCCTAGACCTCAACACAGGAAGCCTGGGACAGTGTCCCCTATGCCCCAGAAACAGAGATCAACTTTAAAAGCCAGAAAAAAAGGCAAACAACATGAGCAAAAAGCAACATAGAAAAACAGAGAAGTAGCTTGGTGACAGGGAAAATCAAAACACAAATTCAGGAGAGCACAGTATTGTCAATATACCCACATCTGAAACCTCAGAGGGAAATATAAACTGGTGTCAAACCCAAAAAGCCTTCTTAGAAGAGCTCAAGAAGAATTTTTAAAAGTCAAATAAGAGAGGTGGAAGAAAAATCGAACAATTCCTTTAAAAATACAGTTGACAAAATGGGGGGATAAAAATACACTAAAGAAAACAACTCTTAAAAAGTAGAATTGACCAAATAGAAAAGGAGGCACAAAAACTCACTGAAGAGAACTCCCTAAAAAGTAAAATGGGCCAAATGGAAAAGGAGGTTCAAAAGTTAACTGAAGAAAATAATTCATTAAAAATGAGAATTGGGCAACTGAAAGCTAATGACTTTATGAGACATCAAGAATCAGTTAAACAAAATCAAAAGAATGAAAAAATAGAAGAAAATGTAAAATTCTTCATTGGAAAAACAACTGACCTGGAAAAGAGATCCAGGAGAGATAATTTAAGAATTATAAGTCTACCTGAAAGCTATGATGAAGGAAAGGGCCTAGACAGCATCTTTCAAGAAATCATAAAGGAAAACTGCCCTGAGGCCCTAGAACCAAAGGATAAAATAGTCATTGAAAGAATCCACCAATCATCTCCTGAAAGACATCCCAAATTAAAAATGCCAAGGAATATTGTAGCCAAATTCTAGAATTATCATGTCAAGGACAAAATCTTGCAAGCAGACAGAAATAAATAATTCAAATATCATGGAACCACAGTCAGGATTACACAGGACCTTGCAGCTTCTACATTAAAAGAGCAGAGGGCTTGAAATATGATATTCCATAAGGCAACGGAGCTTGAATTACAACCAAGGAAACTACCTAGCAAAATTGAGCATAATCTTTCAGGGGAAGAGATGGACATTCAATGAAATAAGGCTCTTCTAGACTCTCCTGATGAAAAGACCAGAACTCAATAGAAAATCTGATCTTCAAATACAAGACTGAAAAGAGGCATTAAAAGATAAACAGGAAAGAGGGGGAAAAAAACATGTTATTCAATAAGGATAAACTTCTTACATCCCTACATGGGAAGATGATACCTATAACTCTTGAGAACTGTATCTTTATTACCACATTTAGAAGGGATATACATAGACAGAGGGGATGGGTTTAAGTTGACTTTAATGTGATGATAAAAAACCTAATGAAGTGGTGAAAAGGAACTGTAATGGAAGAAGAGGAAAGGAGGAAGCAGAAAAGAGTAAATTACATCACATGAAGAGGCACAAAGACATCTTACAGTAGAAGGAAAGAAGGGAGGGAGATGAGCATTGTGTGAACTTTATTCTCATTGAATTTGGCTCAAGGAGGGAATAACATACTCAGGTATAGAAATTTAACTTTCCATATAGGCAGTAGGAAGGGAAAGGGGAAAGAAAAGGGAAGAGGGGATAGAAGGGAGGGAAGAAGTAGTAAGGGAAAAGAAAAAGAAAAGGGAGGGGGTGGATAGGAGGACAGAGTGAGGGAGGCGGTGGTCAAAATAAATGGATCACCAACTTTCAAAGAATCCAGTTGGAAACACAAAGATTCCCAATCAAGCCTCACCACTTTGTAGGTAGTCCGGCTGCAGGGTTTGTGGCAGAGATTCTGGCAGTGGGTAGCCATTCTTCCTGGCCACGATGAGGTGAAAGGCAGCACAGAATTCAGGCAGTGTCAAGGCTCCATCACAGTCCACATCACTGAGCTCCCTGAAAGCAATATAAATGACAACCTGACACCAAAGAACCAAGGGAACCTTCAGCCCATTACACCTACAACCAGCTTCCAAAATTCTTTAGCTGTTGTCAGGCAGCCCCTAAATGGCTCTGGCTGAAAATATTCATATTTGATACCTGGGGGGGGGGGATATTTTTTAATCTTTTTAGATTTTTAAATTTTTAAAAAATTTTAAATGTTTTAAATTTTTATGTTTAAAATAAAAACTATGAGGAAATAACAACTTGCCTTTACACAGTAATTTATATCTAATAGGCACTAATTAGTAAGTCCGCAAAGGCCCTAGAAAGTTTTATTATTCTAAATTTGCAAACGAAGAAGCTGCAAAGAGAAGAGTGGCCCTCAGTCCACAGTCAGTGAATCTTCCGTCAGTCTGAAGACAACACACATTGGCTGGATTTTCATTGCGTGAAGACCTGAACTAGCAGCAATCTCAAACTGGTTCAGAAGTTAAGCTCAACCCCTGGGATCCCACCAGTGCACTACACAGTGTCTCCTCAGACTTTCTAATGCTTGGTGAGAACAGAAGGGGAAAAAAAATTTCCTTTTCCCACTTGGAGGAAAGGCCTTATACCCAGTAAAGTTAAAAGCATGGTACTATGAACTTGAACTTGGCAGGATACTGAGAGTGAAAAAGATTAAGAGGTGGGTTGCAATATTTCTTATTTTGTTCTTTCTTTTGTTTTCTGGGCAAATGCCATCCAAGTCCTCTCCTCCTGCCTCATGAATGATGGCCCAATGTTCCCCAAGTGGAATACAAGCTTTGGGTGATTCAAACACAAATACAGGCCAGATGATGGAGGGACTATTTGCCATCCTAGTCCAGCCTAAGTACCACCTGAAGGATGACCACCAGATGAATGATTCAGGGGACAAGGGAAGAAAGCAACTCATGAAGACCACCTTTTATTGTGGAGGGATTGAGATCATCAGATTTAAAGTACACATTCCATCCATAAACTTTATCTGGGCAGCTAGGTGGTACAGTAGAAAAAGCACTGGTTCTGAAGTCAGGAGGACTTGAGTTCAAATATGGCCTCACATACTTACTAGCTATGTGACCCTAGGCAAGTCACTTAACTGCCCATCCTCAGGACCACTTACACCTAGACTAGAAAGAGCCAAGTGGACCAACAATCTTGAACTGATTGAAAGACAAGTTATCTAGTCTTTTCTAGCTCTAATTTCTTTAAACACTCCCTCCTATTAATAAATCAATCAACAATCATTTGTTAAGTGTTTCAGGTACTGTGCTATATTTGCCAGAGTAAAATGATTAGCAGGTAGGGTAAAGGAGTATGCCTAACAATTATTCAAATGGATTAGCAGAGGTGGGGAACCTGAGATCTCAAGGCCACATGTGGCCTTCTAGGTCCTTGAGTACAGCCTTTTGACTGAGTCCAAGTTTTACAGAACAAATCTTTTTATTAAAGGGAGGAAAGGATGGTGCTAGGTAAGTCAGACAGAAACAAAAGCACTATCTTGAGAAATTTAGTTTGTTTTCAACTATTGCTTCACAATGAATGGGCAATTCCTGGGCATTCAGGGTCTTATATAGTCACAACAAATGAAACTTACTTGTCCAAATACTAACACCCCCATAAGCTCAACCCTTCCTCTCCTCATCCCCATTCCCAGCTCAATCAGCTTTTTAAGTGCATGGGAAGATATCAGGACAAGTATAAAAGAAAGATAATATGTACTCTTAATTGTATTGAAAAAGAAGGTCTTATTTAAGGAAAATCTAAAGTAAATTCTATGTTGTTTTTGTCTTATACATCATCTTTAGTGAAACCATATGCTTGTCAAAGGATAATCTGAGATGTCATCTATCGGGACAAAGATGCAGTGACTTTTCTCCTGTACTCCATTGAAACTACTCAATAAAAAGTCAAAGATATCACCTTTAGAATACATATATTATATACATGTATTAGCATAATGCAGGTAATAGTACATACAGATAACAGTATAATACAAATAATATTATATACATGTAATAAGATAATACATATAATAGTACATAAATATAATAGTATAATATAAATACATCATATAATACAAAGTGATAGCATAGTGCCTATCACAGCAGGCGTTTAAGAAATGTTTATTACTAGCTGTGTGACCCTGCGCAAGTCACTTAACCCTGATTGCTCATCAAAAGAAATGTTTATTGACTGACTGACTTTAGCTTCCACTGCACTGGGCTAAGACAAGAAAGGGAGGGGTTCTACAGTTCCTCTCAGGTTTTAGTATCAGAGTAGACTGATTATAAATACAGTTTTGGAATCTGAGAGACTTTAGAAGGCACAAATGTCATTGACAATACTGTCCATGGTCACCAAATAGATGAACTCACAAAGATGGCAAGCAGTTTTACCCAATAATTAAAACAAAGTAAAAAAGAACCTAACCTTTCATCATTAAAAAGAATGCCTTACATGTATTTAATCAGCAATTTTTTTTTTATGTTTAGAATAGTTTTTTGGTACTCTTCCCAGCCTGAAGCAAGATACTGGTCCACACAGTGCAGTGAGGTTTACACAAGAACCAAATGGTTCTCATAAATGCAAATTGGGCCATCTGCACCATTCTTGAAACAAGCTCATCAAAAGCAAAATCAGATGGCTTGTTAGTAAAGTGCTGATGAATTCCACAGCTGTACTTATTAAATGTTAGGTATTAATTAGGGCTTATCTGACAAAACACAAGTCAGATATGCAGAGATCAGATACAGCTAAAATATTTTAAATTAAACTTTATCACTGCAAGCCATTACTTGACTTACCCATCAGCCTGTCATATATAGACGTGGATTTAACTAGTTCTTTAGGTGACTCACTGGAAAGGTGAAATATTTGGAAGGTAATAAACCAGATAGAACTTCTGATACATCCTCTAATGATTAGTGTGGAAAATCTGATCACAGAATCACAGATGTAGAGCCAGAAAGGACCTCAGAAGCCAATCTTCTCATTTTACAAATGAGGAAACTGAAGCAAAAGGATTAAGTGACTTGTCATGAGTCACATAGCTAGTAAGTGCAATTTTGATGACAGAACAATATTTTTGAAGTTATTTTAAATATTAAGCATTTAAATAAAATTTTAAAGTTACTTTAAAATAGTAACCTTTCAGCCTATTAAGAAAGCCTGTTAAGATATCTGCATTTAAAAAGAGAACTGATTAAGCAGCTTAAAAGACTAATGGTTCTGTTTTACTTACCATATGTAAGAAAGCTCTGGAATAGTCAACTTGGATTTGGTGAAAAAGTTCTTTGCCAGGGAACCTATAAAAAAAAATCACACTCCTTAAACAATAAGTCGACTGACTTATTGTCAATGTGTCAGACAATGGTCTGACACAGCATTAATGTTTGTTTGCATCAGTTTGCATGGCACTTCCCATCTTGAATTCAACAAGCACTCCCATGAACAGAGGTGAAATCTGCCTTTCTCAAACTTTAACACCCTGGTAGAGAGTAATTAGGCCAACAAAAGACTTCCTACAGTTAAAAGAATATGGCTAGATGTCAGAATATGCTGGCTCTTCATCTTGTTTTGTGTCATGGACCCCTTGGGCAGTGAGTCTGGTGAAGCCTATGGGCCCCTTTTCAGAATCATAGTTTTCATTGCATTAAAAAACATAATGTATAAAAATTTCAATGCGTAAAAAATTTCAATGCATGAAAAATATTTTAAAATTTTATCAGTTTTAATTTCTAATATGATAAATATCAATAGGTATAACCCACATATACCAAAGCTCTTTGGGATCCTCAACAATTTTTTTTTTTTTGTGAGGCGATTGGGGTTAAGTGACTTGCCCAGGGTCACACAGCTAGTGAGTGTTATGTGTCTGATGCCAGATTTGAACATAGGTCCTCCTGAATCCAGGGCCGGTGCTCTGTCCGCTCTGTCTACTCTATCCTAGCTGCCTTCTCAATAATTTGTAAAAGTGTAAAAATGTCCTGATATCTAAGAGTTTGAGCACTACTGTACTAAGTTAAACTCCTAAAAAATACACACATACACACACACATAGGTAATTAAAACATTATATATATATATATTTATATATATTCAAATTTAAATTTTAAAATAATTCAAAATTATGTAAGTTAAACCTGATTCCCTCTCCCACTCATTCCCATAAAAAAGCTATAATACAGAGTTACAGTCCTTACCACGGACTTACTAACTTTTAATAAATATGACCCCAAATGCCATACTCAAACTATTTTATTAATGGAGATAGTGTTATACAATATAAAGAATAAAATTCTCTAAAGTGCATATGTTTAAAAAGGGCTAAAAAATGACTATTCAAGACTTTTTTATTATGAAGGATTGATTTACTGAATAAGGTCTTGCCTGACTTCTCTGAAATTCTTACTTTATTTATACATATATACATATATGTATATATACATATACATACATACATATATATACATATATGTATATGTGTGTTTTTTGGTGAGGCAATTGGGGTTAAGTGACTTGCCCAGAGTCACACAGCTAGTAAATATCAAGTGTCTGAGGCTGGATTTGAACTCAGGTCCTCCTGACTCTAAGGCCAAAGGTCTATCCACTGTGCCACCTAGCTGCCCCATTACCTTATTGATATTATAACGCTTCCAAAGATGAAAGTGCACCAGGGTCATGGGATTAAGAAAAGTCTCTCTGGGTATGTTTGGCCAGCATCACTTAAGGAGACCTTTCGGGACACAGGGCCATTTGATAGCTTTTTGAGAAACCTACCCAAAGAAGTATTTTTTAACTTTCTTTTTTTTTTACTACTTGCAAATATCCCTTCAGTGAGCAAAAGCACTATTTAGAGAACAAGTTAATAGTTCTTCTGTGTTAGAAATCAGAAAGTCTTCCTTCTATTTTCCTGAATTGTTGACATTAAAAGCTTCATCTTGTACTCTAAGTGGCCCTGAGCAAGTCACTTACCCTGTTTGCTTCAGTTTCCTTAATTGTAAAAATGGTGATAACAATAGCATCTAACTCAAAGGGCTGTTGGGAGGATCAAATGAGATAATATTTGTAAAGCATTTAGCACATTGCCTAGCATAATGCTTATTCCCTTTCCCTCTTCCCTCCTTGTACTCTGATATTGTACAAGGTATTCTTGGCTTTAAAATACATGAACCAAACCTTACTCCCTCTAAATGATCAATCTTCTGTTTCCTATCCCGCAGTGCCAAAAAGCCTCAAATCTTCAACTTGAGAACTAGTCAAATCAAGACCAAACAGCATTGACTGAGGATGAATCCACAAAATCAAGTCTATTTCAGCCACAAGAGTTACACACTGATTTATTGTAACTGCCATTTAATCATGCTTTAAAGCTTTTAATTTTCACTCTCTCACCTGAACTTAAGAACAAAATGCTGTATTATTCCCATTTCACTGATGAGGAAACTGAGGTTCACAGGGGTCATGCCTATATTCACACAACTATCAACTGTCAGGAGGTGGGATTTGTACCGAAGTCTTCCTGAATTCCACTGTCACATGCTGGTTCTCTATATGATGGATTGCCACTGTCACTACAGCAGCACTTTCTCACTAGAATCATCCTTCACAAGGACCTACTACACTGTGTGGAACATGCATCTTCACATTGGTGCTCTCCTTCTAAGAAGTCACCTTTCTCAAAATATTTTGCAATTATTCTTTTGGAACTCCCTTAAGAAATTCTTTAAAAGCCAATTTCAGCCACACAAGAAAATAATTGCTTAATAATTATATGGTACTCTCCCCTAGACTACTGTCTTTCTCTTCCTCCTCTTCTTTCTCCCTAGCTCCACTTAGTTGTGTACCTCTGTCTTTCCTGCTTATAAGCATGCTTGGGTCCCAGCCACCTCTGGAAAGTGATTGGGCCAATGCTGGCCTACAGCCACAGACACCAGGGCCAGACTGAGTCTGGGAGGCAGGGGGAAGCCACATGCACATCAGTAGTCAACCTAAATTCATTTCCGTGCTTCCTGCCTATATTAAGTATCATAAGTATTCTCTCTCTTTATGCCTTGGCTTTATACTTATATCCTAATTTGCATTTATTTGTTAGGATGCCTTATCTTCCCTACAAGATTATAAACTAGCAGTGGATTGTAGAGAGAATGGAAGCAAGGAAACTAGTCAGAAAGCAATTCTAACAGTCCAAGCAAAATGCCAAAAGGCCTAAACTAGAAGTGGTGGCAATGGGAATAGAAGGAGAAGAAAGATGTGAGAGAAATCGTGGCAGAAAAATCAGCAAGGCTTGGGAACTAATTGGATATTGGGGAAAATGAAGAGGGAAGATTCAATGATAATTCTGAGTATGGATGATGAGGAAAATGGGAGGTGTCATTAAGGGAAATAGTTAAGTTGGGGGAGGGGGAACAGGTAGATTTAAGGGGGAAATTCAGTTCAGTCACTGATATATTAAGCTTCAGGTGCCAATGGGACATTCATGGAGGGATGTCTATCAAGCAGTTAGAGGAGTAGGATTAGAACTCAAGAAACAGGTCAGGGTTGGAAATAAACTTGGAGTCAAACTTGGAGTCTTGCAGTCAACTCTACATAAGTGTTCAATGAAGTCATGGCAGGAGATGGAATGACAAGAGGTGAAAGAGGAGAAAGAGGAGGAGGACGGAGAGAAGAATGGAAGGAGAAGTGGAAGGGGCTAAGGACAGAGTATTGGGGGCCTGATACATTTAAGGGGATGGACAAGAAAGACAACGCTAAGAGGAGTTATCAGAGAAGTAAGTGTAAAGATTAAAGAGAAAGTGGTATTCATTTTTTGGTTTTGTTTTTCTTATTTGATTTCATATCTGTAAGGAACTTTCCATGACGGAACTTTCATCACCTGTGCAGAAAGGCAACTCATCTACAACTTTGTTCATAATTTACCTAGGCCACTGGGAATTAAATGAACTGCCCAAGTCTTCCAGCTAGTCTATGTCAAAGGCAGCATTCAAATCCACATCTTCCTGACTCCAAGAACAGTTCTGGAGCCACTAAGCCAGGAAGTCTCTCCAATATACACAAGTAATTTGCATTTCAAGGCAAGAAACTAGGCTTAAAGAGCACTTTAAGGTATCTGGTCACCTCAAATCAATCCATAATTAATTCAAGCTAATTACCATGCTTCACAAACACAGCACTCATTGTACTGCCCTGCTTCAGTCATCAGTTCTGTTCAAAGCTTATTTTGTTGTCCTAGGAAGATATGTCCCCGCAGAGGAAAGTAAAGATATCTCCTTCAATGAGGGTGTAGCACTACCAAAAGAAACCTTATTGGTGGATACACAATATCCTTTCTTGACCTCAAAGCCTCAAAGCCATACCCAGTAGGATGACAAGCTCCTAAAATTAACTCAGAAAGGATGCTACTGAGGCACAAACTTGAGGGTTTATATCTTACTGGTCTTTTTTTACGACCATTTTCATACTTTTTTTTTCCATTTTCTCTTAGGAAGATTAAAGGATAAAGACATTTTTTCAGCATGGCCAACAAAGGAATTTGTTTTGCTTAACTATGCATACTTGTGAAAAGGTTTTGGGTTTTCCCCCCAACAGGAAAAGGGAAAGAAAATAAATGCTGGTTAATTGAAAAAAAATTAATTTAAGAAACAAAAGATTAGATAAGAAAGATCTGAGCAAAGAACATTAGGAACATGAGACTGATCCAAGCTGCATCGATGGAATGTAACTTGAGAAGACCCAACAAACATTCTTTTTCTCAAAAATTGTAGCAATAACTGTTTATACATTATAATTTGGGGGCGTGAAGGGGAGGGAAAGTCCTTTAAATATTTTTAAAAAGATAACAGATGTGAAGAGTTTGGGAAAATGTAAAGCATAAGCTATAATTACTATTACTATTGTTGCTACTCTTAAGCAATTAAACATCTTTTAGAAATCATGAATGTTGACATCAGAGATGATTTCAATCAGTATTTAATGTAGGGGACAAGTCCCCTCCAGCTTCCACTTAATCCCTTTGAAACTGAAGTAGGTTTTGTCCAGTTGGATGTGATTTCTGCTGTTTTTCCTCATTTTTTATAGTTGTAAAATAATTAAGTCACACAAGGGAAAAGACTACCAAAAACAAAAACAAAAGCAAAAAAACAGGAGCTTGCCATAAGCTCTCCGTTTGACCTGCTTCTGGAGACCTTAATGAGTTTACTTTGCATTCCTGTTAGAACAAGGAAGTACAAAGGGACCTCCAAGTCTTCTCTCCAGAAGAATCATTACCTGAAATGAAGGAACTCAGGTCAGGTTGAAGGGATTTGAATTGATTGATGTAGTACTCTCGCTGTTCTTCTGTTATTCTCCATGGGTCATCTGGATAATTACTGTTGCTCTCCTGGGGTTCTCGTTCTACTGAAAGGGACTTAAAACAAAATTAAGTGAGAACCTGACTTTACTGGGCTGAAGATTTTTTTAATTGTTTATATGCATGGGTTGTGGGAGTAGAACCCTCATGACACAGGACAAGATAAAGAGTACTTCCCCTCCCCAAGAAGCCACAAGCAGGATCATCAATCTAGGCCTGGAAGGAATCTCAGTCATCAAGTCCAACCACTTCCTTTAACGGTTGAGGAAAATGAGGCCTAGGAAGGTTAAGTAACTTGCCCAAGGTCACACAGGTAGTGAGCAACAGAGGCAGGATTTGAACCCAGGTCCTCTGACTCCAGTCAGTGTTCTTTCCATTCTACCATTGAAAAGCAGAGAGAATGGGGAAAATTGAGAGCATCTTATATCAAAGTGTACTTCACTTTCTATAACATATATGTTATCAATTGTGTGGATATCAGATAAGTGTAAATGGATGGTAGCAACTTGCTCTTTAAAGGAACCATGTAGTGAATCCTACTATGAAACAAATAACCATTCTTTACTAATTTTTAAATATATTTTTATTTTTGCATATCATATACTCTTAAAGTTTGGCATATATTTATGCTGAATTATTCTATTCAGCCTCATAACATTCTTATGAGGCAATAATAAAAACAATTTTATATAGCACTTTATTCTCAAAAGGTATAAATTTATATATAATCTCTCTCTCTCTCCCCCTAGATAGATAGGTAGATAGATAGATATTATTTATTAACCTTATTTTTATAGGTGAGGAAACTGAAGCTCAAAAAAGTAAAGTAATATAGTCAGAAATAGTCATACAGTTCATATCAGAACCAGGATTCAAACTGAAATCTCCTAAACCCAAATTCAGCACCCTTCACACTCCACCATGCTATAACTCAGAAAAAGGAAGTGGTAAAGTAACCTAGGACCTTCTTTTACACATAAGAAATTAATAATAATAATAATAGCGTTTATTTAGCACTTTAAGGTTTGCAAAGATTTATATATATATATAACTTCAAGTGATAATCACAAAAATCATATGAGATATACGCTATTATTATCCCCATTTAACAGATGGGGAAATAGAAACTGAGAAATGTTAAATGACTTACCCATAGCTAGTAAGTGGCAGGTTTTTTGAGACAGAGAGAAACCAACAGTTACAAAGCACTTTCTATGTGTCGGATACTATGTTAGGTGCTTTACAAATATCACATTTTATTCTCATAACTATCCTGGGTTTTTTTGCTGTTGTTCGTCATTTCAGTCATGTCTGACTTTTTGTGACCTCATTTGGGGTTTTCTGGGCAAAGATACTGTAGTGGTTTGCAATTTCCTTCTCCAATTCATTTTATAGATGAGGAAACTGAAGCAAACAGAGTTAAGTGACTTGCCCAAGGTCACACAGCTAGGAAGTGTCTAAGACCAGATTTGAACTCAGGAAGATGAGTCTTCCTGACTCTAGGCCTACCACTCTATCCACTTTGCCACCTAGCTGCCAAACCCATATAGGTGCTACTATTATCCCTATTTTACAGATGAGGAAACTGAGGCAGAGGTTAAATGACTTGCCCATGGGTCACACAACTACCAAATGGCTGAGACAGGATTTGAAACTCAGATGCTCTGGACTCCCAGCCCAGCACTCTATCCACTATATCACCTACCTGAAGCATGTAGCAAATAGGGATTGGGGTTAGGGAGGATTCAAGAATGAGAACCTAGGCCAAGTGAATCTTCTGCACATATGGCAGCTTACCACCATGTTGTATCCAAATGTGCCCCAAGAATCTCATAAAGCATTCTCTGGCAGAGCACTGCCTGAAGTGAACCAGATGCATGACCAAGATTCCAGATGTGGAACATCACACAGAACAGTCCTGCATGCTGCCCACATGGATGGAAGGCTAGCTGGGCTGTGATGTATGAAACTACCAGTGACCTTGACCCTAGAGTGAATTCAATACTTCTGATACTAACAGGTGAAAGAGATAAACAGCAGCAAGCCTTTATGTGTGTCAGATCAAGGAGAATATAACTCTAGAAGAAGTGATAAGATATTAATTAAACAGATGAACATTCCGAGAGGGCTGAGATACCACCTTTAATCTAAAGCTCCACTCCTTTACTCATCAACTCAAAACTGTTGATGCTGCATACTGGGCTGCTGCTTCTTTTCTGTGTTGTTGGCTTTGGCTTAGACCCTCACTTTTCTTCTGCCTCCCTGTCTAGAAATAAGAATAAGATTCTTCCTTTCTTATGCCTTATCTCCTGTAAACAGGAACACTGGGATTGGAATCAAGAAGATTCATCTTCGTAAGTTCAAATCCGGCCTCAGACACTTACTAGCTGTGTGATCCTGGGCAAGTCACTTCACCCTATTTGCCTCAGTTTCCTCATCTGGAAAATGAGCGGGAGAAGGAAATGCCAAACCACTCCAGTATCTTTACCAAGAAAACCCCAAGTCAGACGTGAGTGAAAGGACTCAACAACAAAAGTAATCTCAGTGGCCACACAGCCCAACTATACAGTATGACCACTCGGTTCTAGTCAGGTGAGTCTCCTAATGATCTACCCAGCACACAAAACCATATTAATTTCTACTCCACACCTTTAACTCATGCTGCTCCCAAGACCAGAATACCCACCTTCAAGATTTGACTCAAGGTCTACCTTTGCCATGAGGTATTCTCTGACTACTCCAATCCACTTTAACCCTCCCTTCTTGGAATTCATGATCTACACAAACACATTAACATTTAATTACCCTCTAATTGTTTTATTGTGTTAGTTCCTTGAAGGCAAGGGCAATACTATATACTTCTTCTAGGTTTCCTCCATAGCACTTAACACAGTACTAGAACACATAGTAGGCATTCTGAAATTTTTATTCAAAGATTGTAAGAAGTAAAAAAGATCTTAGAGGTTATCTAATGAACCCCACTCCACCTCATTTTATAAGTGAGAAAAACAAAGCTTCAGAAAGGTTAAGTCACACAATGAGTTAATGTCAGGGGAGAGATTAAAACTCAGGTTTTCTGACTTCTAATCAAGTATTCTTCCTACTACATCAAGCTCCCTTTTAGATGAATGAATTATTCCAATTGGTCGACAGGTTTGTTTACATTTTTGGTAACAAAGAAAAAATAGTTTTAAGAGACTGCTGGATTTGTTGCCAGAGGCCCTGGATTCAAATCCTAACTGCCAAAATCTATGTTTATTTGCAGGTATTTACCTATAAATTGACTGACTAGGTGAAGAGGTGGAAGATCCTGGAAACAACAATTTGCTATTCACTAGAAATTAAGGCTAATTGACTTTAAAAGGGAAATATCAAAAGTTATTGATCTAACCAGAAGTACAAATGCAACCAGGGCTTCCACATTGTCCTGAATGGCTACTTACTAGGAAATGTGTTATATACTCAGGGATGGAAATTGCAGAAATAATAAAAGTGAGTTGGCTGGCACCCATGGAAGGATTCCAGCTGTGGGACAGCTCCCCAAATACTCTTCATCTGCCAAGTTGGCTGGCTGATTGGTTAGTATTCTCCAAGAGGCCCGGAGGCCACAAAGACTTCTAAGGTCTAAAGACCTACATGCATTGCAACAGCAATCTGCCCCTAAATTAGCACTATGCTCTGGCCTTCCTGTCAAAGCTGATTCTGGAAAAGGTTTATTCCTCCTTGCAACCAAAACGCTTTCTAATTCAGCCTCATCTCCTGCGGTTGTGTTGGATGGACAGAAATATCCAAAAACTGGTACCAATTTTGAGGGTTTTTTTTTTCCTAAAGAGAGACACATCTGGAAGGGAAAAAAAACATTCAAATCACTCTAAGTCACAGCTGTCTCTCTCCCTAGATAGGTAGATAGATAGATAGATAGATAGATATACACACACACGTATACATATATATACACACGTGTATGCATATGCCTGTATGTATACATACACACACACAGAGAAAGACTTACTTTTTCAGACACAGAGGAATTAGATGTGCATGAACTTAAGATATTCAAACTTATACTTTTATTGAAGTCAAATTCAGATCTTTAGGGCTTCAAGTTTTCCTTTTAGGAAAACGGACTATTTTTTAATGCAGATTCATTTTTTAAAACTCACTGAAAAGGTGATTTTTCCTTATTGTCCCTATTGTCCTGAAAAGAGGCAAACAAAAAAGAAAAAGAAAAAATAAAGGACTTAAACACAACTGAATTACACAAACTACAAAGTGAATCTTGTCCTTTTGAATTTAAGGAGTCTTTAAATTGCTACCTTAGAGCTATGGTAGAAAACTGTCCTCAGATCCATGACATGAGACCTCTTTACAAGTCAAAAAAAATTACTCTTTAATATAACCCTTTGGGGAATTTCAGTTACTAAAGAATCTTGGGGTCTCATACCAAAATCTATAGCAAATATTCTCATAGCAAAGTTCCTGTGCATTCTAAAGTCATTATTTCCTAGCCTTCGTAAGCATTTTTTCTGTTTTAAGAACAAGGTCCTTAGTCAAAAGCTGTACTTTTTCTGTGTAAGAAACCAGGAAAACTAAGTTTCTACACAAACTGAAAGATGCTTATATCAGCCCCCTCCACACACTAAGAGGATGAAACTTTCTGTTCCCAAAGTGTCTATATTCATTTGTTTTTAAAAAAAAAAAAAGAGCAAACTCCAATATATCACCAAAACAACAGGTGACTACTGCTACAAGGAAGAAAAAAATCATTGAGAAAGTAATTACGTGCTATTTTCAAAATTACACAGTATTCCTACTGATGTCAATCAGACATTTATTGAGCACTTACCTACTATGCCCTATCACTGATTTAAGTGCTGTAAAAGATATAAAAATAGTAAGTACGAGGAGAAATTTCAGCCTACAAGGCCCTTAAAAGGTAGTATTAGAGAGAAGATATGCCCAGGAAACAGTGAACAAATCAATAATACGTCTGTGTATATACAGACATCGGTACAGGTATTGCAAATGAGAACTATGCATGAACATATAAACTGCAT